CGATTAAATTTCAAAATGCTTTCCCTACCCGCCTGATACGATTGTGTTCCCTTTCATTGTGTGTACAGGCGGCATATTTGAAGATTATGCTTCACACCAGCAGTGCGGGGAAATAAAAGTGCAATAAAAACATTGTCCGCCTTTGTGTCCCCGGGAAAACTTTTCGGCAGGAAAGCAGGATGCAAGCGTTTTTGTTCCACAACAATGCCGAAGAATACTCTCTACTTGCAGTGATGATGAAAACATAAATAAAAGCCAAGTTGGACTTGACTGGACTTTGCAAAGAAATAAAATTTTTCCCAGTGTTGTGAAACGAGTTTCATTCGAAACGAAACCAACGCACATACAGATCGAGAAAGAAAAAAAAAAGAAACAGCATAGAAATTGCAAGCTGGGACAGTTTCGGTGCGGGGGCCAAATAATGCGTTTAATAAAAGTGATATGTGATGGGCGGAAATTTAATAATGCCGACCGCAGGAACGCTTGCCAACTGAAACTGGACTAACTGAATATCGGCGTTTCGGGCGCCCGAATGTACAATTGAATCGAATGTGTTTCAACACACACATACACATACGTAAAATATCCTTACTGATTTGTATTCCCACTTTGACAGCTATCAATTTCGCCGCAATCAAAAACTTTTTTCCACCAAGTTATTTTACACAAACAAAAGAAAATGTGTCGCGGTGGAGTGAAAATAAAAAGATACAAGAGCTCCACGGAAGAAGAAAAACATTTCCTTGCAAGATCGACGTCTCGTAAATCAACAGAAAAATTTATGTGAATCGTGCATGTGTGTTTGTTCAGAAAACCTTCGACAGTTTCCCTCGCCCGTCCTACGTTTGCGATTGGAATAACACCATACATACACGCGAGTTTCTTTTATTTACTTGCCGTACGTGCAAACCAGACCATCGACAAGTCGACGATTTGTGATATATCTTAAAAATTACAACCCAATATCGGCATCTATTGCATGCATAAAATTCCAGGCCGTAAAAATAAAAATTGTATTGCTTTTATTTCGGCGAAATTTTCCGGCGTTTATAAAAGCTAATTCCACGAAGCTGATTTTCTTCATCAGCACAAAGACGTACGCGGAACCCAATTACAAGATTACAAGCAGCGCCCGAATAAAACAAGACATCAAAGCGGGGAATTCGTATGTAAAGATAGTTTTTGTCTGTGCACAGATTAGACTCCTCAGAAACCCTCATCAAATCAACAAAACTCGAATTCGCATTCGGTAAGATTTAAAATTCGCTTTTCAAGCATCTGAATATGCTTAAACTTATTTATTTATTTGTTGCGAAACACACAACCCTCCAAACAACTAAACACATAAACCGAAAACACTCGCTTCGCACATGAATGCAAACTTAACATCAAGAATTACTTTAAATCCGCGACCATGCCAAATAAAGTGAACAAGAGCACAAAATAAGACGCGCACGACGCGGAATAAACAAACTTTTACCATTACGCCCCGCTCATTTAACGCGGCAAACTTAAATTAAACCAAATCCGCACAAATTCCCCGAGACACACCCAGACTCACCCGAAACAACCCTTTGAATCTTCTCGAAATAGAAACAAAGAGATTTAAATTTTTATTTTATTTTTGCTTAGAAAAAAATTGAATACACTCGGTGTAAAGACATCAAACGTGAAATTGTATAGACGCGTATTAAAACTTTGGATATATTTTTATATAGCCCAGTAAGCCGCGATCGCACAACGAGATAGTGATAACATCACCTAGCAGGGAGGATATACGATTGCTGAAGATAGCGGCAGGCGCGCAGAGGATGGAAACGTCGAGTGATTTTTATGGGTCAGCAAGTGATGCGAAATTGGCACTTTCCACGCGTCATAAAACATATCCGGCGATCGGGGCGGAGGCGCACCAAAGACCGGAAGAATCGGAAGACGCTCGCTAATACGATACTGTCGAGACCTGTCCATACTAATCATATTTTCCGGTTTATATTGCTGCAGGCGCGCCCGGTACGATACTCTTGTAATATTTGATAATATGGAGCAAGCGCGGCGTCAGCAAAAACTCGCATTACAAGGAATAAGTTTTACAGCCCTAGGGCTGTAGGTATATTATAAAAGATTGAGTGCAGGTGATTTATATAGAGAGGAGAAAATATGGCTTAGAGAAAATTAATTTGTTTTGAAGTATTAGAGTGATGAGTATTAAAATATGTTCAGAAATTACAACAATTTTAAGAAAAAACGCATTTTCAATGTGTTTTTTAGTGATAAATTTTGATTGGTACGAGATTTTCTAAATATTGCTTTACGTTATTATAGTAAACATGTCTACAAAATTTTGTACAAATCTGCCGAATAATTGTAAAGATATTGCAAAAAAACTAACTTTCTGATGAAACTAGCCGAATTATGCATCATTTTTTGTTGATAACTCAAATATTAATTATTTAATCTTAAAAATTTCTTCCCTAATGTCTTCCTAACATCAAAATTTATACTTTTGTAAAATTTCATGGCAAAATACCTAGTGTTTCAAAAGATATTCACAAAAAACTAAGTCAGAAATTAGCGAATTTTAAGAAAAAAGCATTTTTATTGCACTTTTTCATTATAACTTTTGATTGGTTCAAGATATTTTAAAAATTTCTTTGAATGTAGATTCCTGTTATGGCAATAATCGTGTATACCAAATTTTAAAAAATTTACCAAATAATTGTGAAGATAATGAAGAAAAACTATTTTTTCACTAAAATTGACCTAATTTTTCAACATTTTTTGCTAATAACTTCAAAATTAATTCTTTAATCTCACAAATTTCTTCACTAATGTCTTCCTATCATCAAAGTTAATACTTATATAAAATTTTATAGTAATATACAAAGTGTTTCAAAAGATATTCATAAAAAACTAAACCAAAAAAATTATATTATAAAAAAATTGAGTGCAAGTAACTCATACGAAAATGACAAAATATGGCTCCGGTAGAATTAATATATTTCCAAGCACGAGAGTGCATTAATAAAGATAAATGAATGAAAAGCTCGAAAAAACAGTAAACCGGAATAAGCCACGTTAATACCTAGTGCAAAGTAGTTTTTAAATATCACATACCGCATCACATACGCATGGATTAAATATAAAAGTCGCATCCTCGACTCGCATAAATTTCGCTTAAAAATAGTTTTAAACACTGTTTTGTGTAATATTCGATTCAATAGATTAAATCCCAGCCAGCGGTATCACACAGCAAGCATCCATGTGTGCAGACGTGAGTGCAGAATGGCGCAATGGCTCGTTGCTCAGGAAATTGTCGGCGAAAAAAACGCAAGCCTAGGAATAATGTGCGCGGAGCGGATGTGCAAAATGTTCGACGCGTAAAAGCCGGAAAGCGTTATAAATTGACACGAAATTCCACCACCTCTCTCGCCCCATATGCGCAAAAATGCACATAGAAAAATTCAAATATTACTATTATATTAATACCAAACTAGCTCTTTTTGTAATAAAAACCGACACTCAATCAATTTACTATCAAACGCGATTGCGCCTCGCTTTGGAATTTCGAGTGTGTCGGGATTATTCGCAATTTTCAATCGAAAACCCATCGGCGATGTGTTGTGAATTATCATCGAAAAATCAACACGCCCGGCGCCAGCAGCCTTTTACTATCGTTTTAACTGCTCGTAAAAAAAACGCGAGTCCAGAGGGCTGCAGGAAAATTTGTGGACATTGCTGTAATGGTAGCGAAACATATGTCGCTCGGCCGAATATGACAAAGGACTTTTCATCAGGCGCATTTGATGCACACTGCGAGCAGGTTTTTAGGGTATTATCATTTCTAACGAGAATATGCACGCGAAAAAATGGGCGAAATCTGCGAATGTTGAGAGCGTAAAAAAAGTCGTAAATATAAAATATTTACAGCTCTACTACGAACAATGAATGAAATATTGAAACGGTAATTCCATTTTCATTTCATCGAATGTTAGCTAATAAAATTGAATGATTTTTTAATTAAATGTATTGTTCATTTGGTATTTAATTAAATAAAAATGAAATAAGCAGAATATCGTATTGAATTAGTTTTATGGCTTCATTGAGTCGAAAAATTTCACGAAAATTTAGCTTTTTATACACTAATGACTTTTTCTTTTGATAGACTTCAAAAGTGGTTAGGTAAACATTAAATACCAAGCGCCATCTACCGGTAAAATATAAGATATTGCAGAAAAACTATTTTTCTGTTAAAATCCACCTAATTATTCAACATTTTTTGCTGATAACTTGAAAGTTATTGCTTTAATCTTAATAATTTCTTCATTAACGTCTTCCCAACATCAAACTTTATACTTTCATAAAATTTGATGGCAATATACAAAGTGTTTCAGAAGATATTCAGGAAAAACCAAAGTAGAATTTGCGAATTTTAAGCAAAGCGCGTTTTTAGTTTAAAATATCAAAAAAAACCGCTTTTTAGTTTTTTATCCACTAATTAACTTCTTCTTTTGATAGACTACAAAAGAGATTATGTAAACGTCAAATACCAAGCGCCATCTACCGGTAAAATATAGATATTGCAGAAAAACTAATTTTCTGTTGAAATCCACCTAATTATTCATCATTTTTTGTTGATAACTTCAAAATTAATGCTTTAATCTAAAAAATTTCTTCACTAGCGTCTTCCCAACATCAAACTTTATACTTTCATAAAATTTCATGGCAATATACAAGGTGTATTAAAAGATATTCAAGAAAAACCAAATCAGAATTAACCAATTTTAAGAAAAAGCGCGTTTTTTGTTGAAAATATTTAAAAAAATCGCTTTTAGTGTTTTTATCCCATAATTAACTGCTTCTTTTGATAGACTTCAAAAGAGGTTAAGTAAACGGCAAATACCAAGCGCCATCTACCGGTAAAAACTCATAACTCCAAAATTTCGAATTAATTTACATAAAAATTCAAAAAACAACAAAAAATAATAAAAATTTCCACCTACCTGTAAACTAGGATGACATCCAAGATCCAACAGCATCTTCACCACACCAATATGTCCCTTATTCACACCAATATGCAACGCAGTCTGTCGTCGTTTGTTCCGCGCATTTAAATCAGCGCCCGCATGAACCAGCAACTGCATAACTGCCGGCTCATCGCCAAATGCAGCATGATGAACAGCTCTATCACCATCCTTATCTTCGATTTCTACATCAGCGTGGAAGCGTAGTAATACAGTGATTACTTCCAGATGACCGTTCTGACTGGCGGCTTGTAATGCGGTGTGACCAGCAAAAACGCCGTTTACGTCCGGACCGATACCAGCCCCGGCTGTGTTGCTCTGCTTGAGCACTTCTTCGCATTTCTGAGCATCGCCATTCGCGGCGGATTTTACCAGTTCTTCGTTGACGTCGCCAGAGACGTGTGTTTCGAAGAGTTTTTTGAGTAGAGCGCTCAGACGCTCGCCGCTTGTTGTGTTCTGCATTGTGCCATCTTTGCTGGCGACTTTCGTTACGGCGAGGGGGTTGTAGGTCCATGTTGTGTTGCAGACTTCGACTTTTAGGTCGTTGTCGTTGTAGATTTGTTGAATGTGGCCGACTTTTCCAAGTGTCTGGAGAGAAATTAGATAATATTAAGAAAAAGGGAATTTTAGTTAAAGTTTTTTGATGATAACTTTTGATTCGTGGAAGATTTTTTAAAAATTTCTTCAAATACATATTCCTGTTATCAGCATAGACTTATATATCAAATTTTATAACAATCGCTCAAATAATTCCAAAGTTATTGCAGAAAAACTATTTTTTATCAAAATTAACCTAATTTTTCAACATTTTTTGCCTCTAACTTCTAAATTATTACTTCAATCTTAAAAATTTCTTCAATATCATCTTCCTATTATCAATCCTTACACTTTTATAAAATTTCATCACAATATACAGGGTATTTCAAAAGATATTCAAGAAAAAACAATAAAAAACAACAAAATTTTTAAAAAAATCTTACCGGTGCCATGCCATCAGCCCACTCTCCATGCCCCCTCTGCAACATTTTGATCCTCTCCAAATCTGAACATATCTGCACAACATCCCCAACCGAAAACTGCTGCTTGGGTGTCTCATTATTCCCCTCAGCAGTAGACGGCGCAACTCTCGTCAATACCGCAGGATTAAACGTCCACCTATTCCCGCTGGCATACGCCACAACAATGTCATGATCTTCATCAATCCCAACCACAGTACCAGTACTATTCATACACTCAAACATCCCATCCGTCCATCCACCATGCCCATGTTGCAACGAGTGCACAATCTCTAACTCTAAATTAACCGTAACTCTATCGCTAATTTTCAACCCAGGCGGGCCAGTATGCGGTGGGCCTTGTTCACCCAAACAGGGCAAATGATCCCGATAAACAGTTTGTCCTTTGGCATCATTAACAACCTTCAAATCAGCCATGCCTTCAAACCCGACTCGATATAAATTCTTCGAGCCGTTATCCCAGACAATATACGCTGCTGATCTTGGACTGGCCGCTGACCAATCTTGTACTTCTTGGACTTTGCCACGGCGGCCATTACCGCCATCTTGATCCTCCCACTGCCAATCAACACCTCGGACAACTCTCGCACCTGGAAATATTCCTCGCACAGATATTCTTTTACTTTTTCGACGTGCTTCCAAATAAACTCGCTCGCTGCCCGGCGTAGTAATCTGATAGAATCTGTGCCGCAAATGGTGCTTATCTCCATGATAACAAATTGAGCACAGGTCATAATTGCCACACTCAGCACACTTCCATCTGATGCCAAAAATTGGCTGCTGTCTGCATGTGTCACACATTGTGCCCTCATGCTTCACACCTGTTGGTGCACTGTCTACAATTCTCAAGTCATACTGGCCGGAACATCGATAATTCGCTGCTGTGCCATTATCCCATACAACAACAACTTCATCAGGGCTTTCAAAGTTGCGTACTGTTCCAACATGACCTTCTCCACCATCCTAAAATTATAAATTTGGGGTTTATGTTAGTTTATTTGCACTGGTTGGATGTATAGTTGGTAAATTATGTTTAGCAGTGTATGAATGCTTAGCAACGACTTGTTTAAACAAATGAAACTAACCTGTTTACCCCATTTCCAGCCAGGGCCACGAATTACACGCGCCCCGACGCCCTCCATCATAATTCGGGATGTGCGAGCAGCACCGGGGTTCGGTCCCACCGCATTTACCACGTCCATGATGAACAAATTCAACCAACAGTCTACTATCACTTTATCAACTTAAAACGAACACCCTTTCACAAAAATAAGAACACATGCACTTGCTCGATGAAAGTCGTTGCTTATCGCAACAGGTCGGCGTACTGGAAAATAATAAAACGTACATTTAACATAGGCAACCCAAAATACACACAACATAATTATACACCAAAAACATAAAAATTTACAATTTTACATTAAATATTTACAATTAAAGAACGCATAATTTATGTTTTCATTTGTATTGAATGCTTTGTAATAATAAACATAATGATAACATCAACATGTACTTTGTAGTAATAATAATATGTAATAATATTTACACTGGTTTATATTATCTTTTGTTTCCTTCCTACAATGTAAGATCTTATTTGTTATTGTTTCCTCTAAGCCCTTATAACTAGTAAATTCGATTGGCAATGGTACAATACTGTTAAATTCGACAGATGAGATAAACTTCAATCTTCAGCTACACTCTTACAATATAATTACAATACATACAGTTTTCACTATGTTTCAATAAGTAAAAAAGATTCATTTATCAAAGAGTAATGCCAAAATATAAATTTCAATGTATTTGGTGTGTAAAGTGCAAAATAAATCAAAAACAATTAAATCCAAAGTGTGTTTGGTGCAAATTTCGAGTAAAAACAATGGCAAATGTCTTCATTCTTGTATAAAATATATGCTTAGCACAATATTTGACGCATTCACATGACAACTTCCATTTCAACTAGGTTTATTAAAAAATTTGTGCTTATTTACAGGCCGCAATTTTGTGCAATCTTGCGACAGTGAACAATATGCCTATCCACTGCATTTGCATAGAATTATTATAGGTATATGTTTTGTTTAAATTCGCTTATGTCAGCGTCATTCATGACACGCAGTCTTTTTCCATATTCGGATAAGTAAATATGCAGCACGGTAATGTTTTGCATGTATATTATACCGTCGTTTGAACGAATTCGCAAACGGAAAACAATCAGCAATAAAATGTTAGAAGTCATAACTGAATATTGAATATGTATGTAAATAAATAATGATCAGCTTGGCGTGTAATTTGTACTAATAAAATTCAATTTATGACCTTATTAGGTAAATTGGATCATTTTTGGATTTCTAAAACAATTTCCCGACGTAGAAATTAAGTATAATAAAATTTTTAGTTCAAAAAAATCATCATAACCTCAAAACTTAAACTTTTTAAAAGTTTTTCTCTTATAACTTTTTAGTTTTACATCCGATTTTAAAAATTCTTTCAAAAATATCTTCCTTTGATTAAAATTAATCACCATACCAAATTTTGTAATGATAAAATGATTATTTTAGAAGATATTTAAGAAAATGTGATTTTATCGTCTTAGAAATCCAAAAATCACCCAAAAAACAAGAAAATACCTAAAAAAATAACTGTAACGTTTTAAAATGTATAGTACTTAAATATATCACAGAAGTTTAGGTGTAAAATAATCATCGCACCGATTTAAATATTAAACCGCGCGTTTTTTAGTACGTAAAAAGCAAAACCTGCTCACGAGATTCCTAAAATATGCATAAACTTTAAAGTAAAAAACAATAACGCATGCGCCATTTTAAAATCTCCAACCTAAGTTACAAAAATGATGCCACCTTACCAAACCCCGATAACAATTAGTTTATTACTCTCTGTTTATAGCTTCGTGCGCTTCAGTGCCCCATTTTGGTGCAATGCGAGTGCAAATACCCAGGACTCTTGAAGCTGCGATTGCACGTATCACATTTGAACGTCCGCGTCTGAAACTGTTGCATGAGTTGCGGATTAATGAAACGGTTACCTCTCGTCCGGCACTTGAGATGACATCGCGTGGGTAGCGGCGCGTTACTTTTCGGCGCACCTTTGGCCAATCGCGTGCTATTCGTCAATCGCGTCAGCAAATCTAAGCTACTTAGACTTGAGGTGGATGCTTCAGGGATCACAGATATTCGATTAATATGGTTCACTATCGTCGCTGGATCGGACAATTCCGAGGCTTGACTGGTTAAATTCGTCTTGATTTTGTTCATAAAGTGCTGAAAGCCTTGATTTATCTTTTGTTTCAAACATGGTGGCATTGCGGGTCTCTCCGGTGATTGGTCCTGTTCATAACAGGCTTGCACAAGCGCAGAGGGTAGAATGTCATTGTCAAGGTCATTATCTGGTTCTTCTTTAATCTGCACATTATCGCCGTCAACGGTTTCTTTTTTGATCGTTACGTTGTTATAATGATGATTATCGCCTAAACTGCACTCGGGCCATAATAATCTGTCTTCTTCTTCGTCGAATGGCTCCAACATGTCGTCGTCGTCATCGCTGCTTTCACTATCATTAGCTAATGATAGTATTGTTTCACGATAAGCTTGGAAATCGTTGTAAAAGAACGTCCGGGAGAAATTTTCCAAGCGGTCGATGACGCTGCCGTTGCATTGCTCTTTTATATCACTATCTTTGACGTTGAAACCAAAATCGTAGCATTTTATAAACCCCAGTAGATCACGCAGTCCGCCTTTTGGTTTGGCGTCCATTTTGTTTTTCAATGGTTTCGATTTTGTTGCTTTGCCTGTGCATGAAGGTTGTGTGTTTCTTTGTCTTGAATGATACAAAACGTACTTTCGAGATTTTCGTGAGGGAATTACTGGTGAATTACTGTTGTGGTCACTTTTTGTTAATAAACTTTTTAGGAGCATACAGCGTTGTTGTTTGGTTATGCGTGGACAGACACGTCGTAGTCTTCGAAGACGATCTTTGTAAGCCTCTGATATTCTAAAATATTTACATTTTTGTATTAAAAGTATGCAACCAAACTTACATATTTTTAATATAGGTTATTTTTGTGTATATTGTGTTGCCTACCTAAATGAAGCCTCCTGTTTTAACCTCCTTCTAAGTCTGATAGGTTTAACACTGTTTACTGCACTTGAAGGTATTTTATTCCTTGTTCTGATAGAAATAGATGCATTATAATTAAAGTTAGCACCCACTGCAGTGCTACCAACACAAGTGATCTCTTCCTCATCATTTTCAACCACATCCTGTGGTTCTGGCTTGACTTCCCAGTGAGGAATAGGTACAATAGTAACCTTCAGTTCCGAATTAACAAACTTCCTCCCTGGACACTCACTGGTGAGCTCATTCAGGTATCTCTCTAGGATCTCATCAGCCTTTGTGCATTGCTTTTGGAAGAGATATGAAACTCTTAGATTCTGAACACACTCATAGCACATCAGTCGGCAGTGCTCCTCTTCACTGATGACCTATGACAGAAAAATCAATAGAGTAATAAAAAAATTACACACACCTCTTGCGTTTTGTTTACCATCTTGGCGCGCACGTAGCGCAGCTTGTCGCTGAGCTTGACCGCGTCGGCGTCCTCAGCGTCGATGTCGATCAGCGGGCCGCAACTCCGCACGCAGATTCGGCAGAATCGCGTTAAATAAAACATTTTTCGCGTCGCCCGCACGACCGAGTGTCAATCATCACTATCATATGTCAGCAGCGCCAGAATGTCACTTGTCAACTCTCGCTCACAATAACATAACCCCACTGCTGCGCGATCCGTCCTGCTGCCAGGCCTGCCGGGCCTGCCAGTCATCATCTGGCAGGAGACGCGCGCATTGGAACGCATTGAAGCAGCACGCATTCGCGACACCGGCCAATGACAACGAGGGAACCAGTACATTTCTTCTATCAACTTGATTAGAGTGAAATTATTTATGCAATTACTGTGTGACAAGGTTATTATTTGTTGTCATCGTTACCATGGCTACTTCAGACGCAAAACCAATCAAAATCACAGTTTGCAATGTGTATACCGAGTGTACTCACAAGAATTATGTTTTTAATCATGTATTTTGCATATTCAGATATATTATTACGCTTAATAGGAAAAAAGATGCGCAGTAAATGATTTGAAACTTTCTAAATGTACTAAACAACAAATTACGTACTATTATTGTGTTATTTTTGCATTTTTAATTTTCTCATCAATTTTTACTTTAATTTGATAGAAACTTATGATATATTTTAATTTGTGTTTGTTTTAAACAAAATATGCATACTACAACTACAAATGCATTCATATAGTGTTTGTTTCAACTTGTAAGTTCAAATAACGTTAAATTATTATCCCACCTCAATATAACTAACGGTATATTCTAGTAACTTTCACTAGATATTCAGTTGGTGCCCCTGCGTAAACTTAGTAACGAGTCGAGTTGCACGATGACGTATGCCAACGCAGCCAACGTGTCAGACGCGAATCGCTCGTTGGCCGTGCGTATTCTATTATTACTTCGAAGAACAACTTGCGGTGCGGACGTGCTTCACTTTTCTACGTACAATCACTTAAATACTCCTGTAAAACATCCAAATTAAACAAAATGGTAAGCTTTATTCCACATTTAACATAAACACATTAATATTAAGCGTAATTTAATTCAACTTAAACAATATTTGCTATTTTTTTACTTAATGTGATGTTTGTTAACAGCCTGCAGCGCCGAGTTCGACCAATGTGGGCTCATCGACACGATCGCCCTCGAAAGCAGCGGCACCGCGTGCTGGAGGCGGCGGTGGTACCGTGAGGCAGAGGAAAACCACCACCACAACAGCTGCGCGGACAACTCGCGGCGGTGCTGGCACCGGTGGCATGTGGAGGTTCTACACTGATGATTCTCCTGGAATCAAAGTGTAAGTTTTGAGAATTTGTTGGCATTTTTGAGCGATATTTAATTGTTTTTGTTTGGTTTTAGTGGACCAGTGCCAGTCTTAGTAATGTCTCTCCTCTTCATCGCGTCAGTCTTCATGTTACACATCTGGGGCAAATACACTAGGTCTTAAGCAATTCATTCCATACAACTGAAGCTGAATAATTATTACAAATTGGGAACTACATGTATGCATTTTGGCATAAGTAAAATTTACATACTTTAATATTAACTATATTTACATTATGTTTTGTTCTTTTTTAAGCTGAAATAATATTTATGAACATCTGAATGTGAATAAATCAAATTATTTATAATATTGTATTTTGCAATAAAATATTGAAATACAAAAGTCACTTTCTTCGCATTTTTAATCCTAATTTACACAAATTTTAAGTTTTTCTAGTAAATTACATTAAATATGGCTACTACCAAATTGGTGTATATTGGGTTGCCTATATTAAATGTCCATAGTCGATTTTAATTTAAATATTTATTTTAAAACAAGAGATTAACATGCTATACAAAATATATACTTAAAACATTAAATAATTTAAACACGTTATTTATTTAAATTTATTTTAATTTGTACTACATGCGCTTTTTATTATTTAAAAAATATGTCCTTGATGCACCGGTCACATACATTGTTTGTTTGTTGTCAAGTGAGCATGAAGTGGAAAATTTAGACCAAAATAAACACAAGTTACACACTCAAAATCACCGGTAAATACAATTAAATCAATGTACCTTAACCCGCATCTCACCACCGCACACTTCTAGCACCTTATCAGTAAGTTGACTTTTGTAATTCTCAATTATCTTATCAAATAATAACCTCATTAGGTTATGTTATCTCAAAGGTATATTTCAGGCTTTAAATCGCTGCGCATCAAGCTGCTCCGCACATTCAGCAGCAAAATGCCGAAAGTAGCGACCGCCACGGGCAATCAGCTCAAACGTCTGCGCGACTGCATGCTGGACACTAAGCTGGTGCCCCAACCCTTGCATGCATACATAGTGCCATCAGCAGATTCCCATGGCAGTGAATATTTGGCCGAGTGTGATAAACGACGGGCATTTATCTCCGGTTTTACTGGATCAGCAGGTACAGCCATCATCACACAGGATCATGCTTGTCTGTGGACTGATGGTAGGTATTTCCTGCAAGCCACTGAAGAGATGGATACCCACTGGACATTGATGCGTGAAGGGTTGCCTACCACGCCAAAACAAGGTTAGTTTTATTTCATGTTTTTAAAAATATTTTTGCAGTTTTTATATATATTCGTGCATTTTACAGCCACATGGTTATGCCAGACATTATCCACTGGTTCAGTTGTAGGTGTGGACCCAAATCTACTCTCCTACAACACCTGGATGCCATTCAAAGATCAACTTGAATCAGCCGGACACAAATTAATTCCAGTTGAAAAAAATTTGGTTGATTTAGTCTGGGATGACAAACCCTCCGTAGCTTGCAATCCAGTCGTGCCATTGCCTTTAAAATTCTCAGGAAAATCCATCAAAGATAAACTCACAGACATTCGTTCACAAATGCATGAGAAAAACGCTTCTTTATTAGTTTTAACATTCTTGGATGAAATTGCCTGGTTTCTAAACATGCGCGGTTCTGACATAGAGTACAATCCAGTCTTCTTCTCATTTGTCATCATCGGAGAGAAAGAATTCACTATTTTCATAGACGCGAAAAAATTCACGCCTGAAGTCGAAGCGCATTTGAAAACCGAAGCAGACGGCGAAAAATTCCACATTAAAGATTACAATCAAATCAAAACGACTCTCAAGGACCAACTTGCGGATTTACAAGGACGTGTCTGGATTTGTCAGGATGCGAATTACTCGCTGAGTAGTCTAGTGTCTTCCAAAATCGCAGTGCGAGAAAACACTCCGATTCAATTGATGAAAGCGATCAAAAACCCGGTTGAGATTCAGGGCATGCGCAATGCACATATCAAAGACGCAGCGGCGTTATGTTGTTACTTTGCATGGTTGGAGAAAAACGTCTCAAGCGGACAAATCACCGAAATCTCCGGTGCGGATAAACTTGAACAATTTCGTGGTATGCAGGAGGATTTCAGAGGTCCTAGCTTTGATACAATAAGTTCAGTTGGTCCTCATGGGGCGATAATTCATTACAAACCAACGAAAGATTCAGATGTCCCGATTCGTTCCGATTGCATTTATTTATGTGATTCTGGTGGTCAGTATCGTGATGGTACTACTGATGTAACAAGAACTTTGCATTTCGGCACTCCTACTGATTATGAAAAGGAGTGTTTTACACGAGTCTTGAAAGGGCAGATTAAACTTGGAACTTCCATCTTTCCGAGTAAAATCCGCGGTAATTATTTGGATTCTTTTGCTAGGCAATACCTTTGGGAAGTTGGTTTGGACTACAGTCATGGAACAGGTCACGGAATTGGTGCGTATTTAAACGTGCATGAAGGTCCCATTGAAGTGTCTTGGAGGACAACTAAAGAGGATCCAGGTCTTGATGTGGGAATGTTTATTTCTAACGAGCCTGGGTTTTATGAGAATGGAAGTTTTGGTATAAGGATTGAGGATATTGTGCAGATTGTCCCTGCGCAGACGAAGCACAATTTTAACAATCGCGGGTTTTTGACGTTTGAAACTGTTACATTGGTGCCTATCCAGACGAAAATGATGATGGTGGATATGCTTACAACTGCTGAGGTGGAGCATATTAATGGATATCATCAGAAGTGTCGGGATGTTGTTGGGCCGTTGTTGGAGAAACAAGGGCATAAAGAGGCGAAGGAGTGGTTGTGGCGTGAAACAGAGCCGATTTGCAAGTGATGAGATTTGTATCAGGAATTTTTCTATTTTTAGGGTTGTGGTACGTTTTATTGAGTAAAGAAAGAGATTTCTATGTGTAATTAATAAAGTATTATGAAATATAATTGATGTTGTGTTTCAGTGATAAGATTATTTTTAGGAATGATGTCTCGTCTCGGAATATTGTGTACTTAAGTATTTAAGTGATTTTGTAAGTTACTTAATTATAGTTTTTAAATTTAGGTGAAGATGGCGTTGAGATGCACTTATTGGAATTAAATTCACGTTTGTTGTGTGACTTAAGCCTAACATTGTGAGTTAAACAACACTATGGCCTTGAGCAGAGCCAAGGCCGCGTAAGTATACTTAACTAGGTTTAATAACTGGTACTAGATGTCGCTGGTATGCAGTTATTTGCGTTAAATAATTGTTTGTTGGTGTCAGTGAGTGCGCAAGCAGATAGTCTTGTCCGTGAGAGATCACGCGATGCGTGCACTATTCTTGAATGGTTCTTTCTCTTACACTTGTTTTGTGTTTGGTTTTGCAGCAGATTCAAAATGTTTGTTGATTGCATTCAACTGCGTGTGATATTAAGTCATCCATCGATTGGTACAATAAAAATATCGTTATGATTATTTATTCTCATTTTACAATGTGTGATGTTACAATTTGATTTTATAATTTGATTCTTTTTGTTTTAGAGGCATTTACAACTTAAATTAACAGACAATTAACTTTACAAGAACCACAATATTATTCTACTTTATGTAAATAATTTGGATCAAACTAAATATTCGCCAGGAAAGAATTATGCTTAATTTTTTAAATTGTTCTCATACTAGAGTTATACATATTACAAGCAAATTGTACGTATATCAAAGATTCGCACACGTTGTACCTGCGCTGTTTATAAACAAGCACCTCTCTGATATCAACAAACGAGTTTTTGTGTTGTCAACATTCTAAAAAGATTCTAGATGACGCTAGGATGCACTATTTGTAATAAATTAAATCATGTAATGTCCCAGCATATGTTTGTTTACATCTCTGAGATTGTTTGTTAGTGGCAGTGTGTGCACATCCGTGTCCGTGTGAATTCATACGCCGTGCGCACAATAAAATGCAAATGTATGTAAATAAATTTACAACAATATAGTGCATATAAATTTAGGCTTCTACTGATGTTATTATGTACAATATTTAATAATTGGGATAAGGCAAGCAACAAGTAATTAATTTGTTTTTATTTTTATGCGAATAAGTTATAAAGAAGTTATATTTTAAATAACAGAGATGTTTTTAATACGCAGCATACAAATAAATAATTCATTTGGTGCATACTTTCATGTATATCTTATCTGATATTGTATCGACTGTAACGTTTTATCGCTCACTACGGGTTGCGGGGTAAGACGAAGAGGAACGCCGCGACATTGTACACTTGCGCAAAGCGTGCTAAAGAGCGTCATTCAGTTTGCAACGGTCAGTGCAGGACGCAGCTAATTTAAAAAACCGCCGAAATTGTATCAAATCTAGTGCTACCAAGTGAAAATCATTACACAATACTATTACAAGTAAGTTCCCTTCATTATTCTTAAGTATCGCTCTTTTTTTTATGAAATTTACGTGATTTTCGTTTTTTTCGTGGTCGGGTCGGATTTTGTTTTTCATCGCATGAAAAACATACATTTTACGCTAGAGACTATCAAGTTACTTCATTTTGTAGGGTAAACTGTATTCTGTAAGAATATCCAATTAGATTTTGGGTGACTTAGACCATGTTTTGATAATTCGCATAATATCGTGTGGAATGCGTAAATTGTGCAATCTTAAAATCTAGTTCTTTTCATGTTTATCAACCGGCGTTGATACACACCACTTGATCGTCGCCGATCGGGTTGCGGGGAGAGACGAAGACCACTGCACTTGCGCATCGCGCACTCAAGCGCGTCTCTTTTATCGGTTACAAGCATTTTAGTTGCAACTCTCTCTTGAAAAATAGTTAAAAATTAAAGAATTCGTCAGAAAAGTGTTGTTACCAAGTGAAAACCATTGTCCCAGGCAATTACAAGTACGTGTCTTTCATTTCATATTACGTCTGATTGCATCTTGTATGAATCGAGTACATTTTCGGTAATTGCGAAAGATTTAATTTTGTTGTTCAGTGCTGTACTTTTTAATTCAAACGACTATGTTATATTTGCGCCGAATTAAAGTAGAAAACAGAGATTTTTATCGTGAATATAAAACATTGGAATGTAAGAACGAATCCATTCTATTCCAATAGAATTTGTCTTGTTTACAACTTTTCGATTTCGGGTTTTTATCAGCGCTGCCTCACACCACCCGTTCGACACTCGGGCGCAAGTCGGGTTGCGGGGTAAGACGAAAGCAACATCGCACGATTGCACACTTGCGCAAAGCGTTCTAAAGAGCGTCATTCGGTTCGCAACGGTCAGTGCAGCACGCAGCTTAATTTCAAAATCACAGAAAATTCATCAGATCTAAAGAAAAGTAGTGTTACCAAGTGCAAATCATTAACCAAGACTAATACAAGTAAGAATCCTTCTTCTGATATAACTATCTTTGCTTTAATTCGCATAATTTGAATTTATTTCACTTTTTGCATATGATTGCGTGCCATCTTGTTTTTCAACACACGTAAAACATAACTTTTTCGTTAGGGATATTCGAGTTAGTTATTCATGTGCATTGTGCGTTAGTTTTAACAATGAAAGAAAAAAACTATTCGCGTAGATTCAAAATTCTCAATACAGTCAATCTGAATACTTATAATAATAACAAAATGTTTGTTACTTCATATCTGCTGGTATCTAAATGTATCACCTCAATCTCACACAACGCGATCGCACGCGCGCACACTTCGGGTTGCGGGGTGTCGGGGAAGTCGACGCTGCGTTTTCGCACTCTTTTGACTTGCGCATCGCACACTCAAGCGCGTCACTTCGTGCGTTACCAGCAGTGTTGTTGCAGTTCAATTAAAAATTCAACGAAAAATTCAATATTTCTCAACAAAATTAGTGCATTCAAGTAAAAATTACTACACAACGTTATTACAAGTAAGCTTCTTTCATTATATACATGATTATATATAATTAGATTTTGTATGAATTAAGTATTTGTTAGGTAAATTCGAGTAGTAGTAGTATATTTATTTGGCTAACGCGTAACATGAAATTCTCTTGCAAGCGGACGCAGTGAGATCGGGGTGACCGCAGATTCACCTCCGCAGAGCGTGCGCGGCCTGCGCGGCCGTCTTATCAGTTGTTTGTTTACTTTACACATTCTTCTAGCGTTCACTTTGTGGCAGAATACTGCCAATAGTGCAGTACAAGTAAAATAAAATCGCGCGGTGTTTTTGTTTTGATTTTAATATTTTCAACATTTCAATCCAATATTAGTCGTCAATTCGCTTTATAGTAAAACAGACAAATTTTTATTTTATTTTATTCTGTGCGCAACTAAAACAAGCAATAAATACTAAATAAACTTAATAAGCATAATTACATAATAAACTAATTATCATTATGTGCGATCTTAGTCAACTCGAGGACCAAGAGAGGAGGTGAGGAGAAAGCTGCGACTGAACTGCTGGAAGACTCAGGCACGACTGAGTACTGAACCCGTTGCACGTGGCCCTTTTATACCTGCGAGCGACCAGGTAAAAGTGGTGGGGGTTAGCCTCACGCACTAGGTTGGGGTGGTACGTGGGAGAAGCTAAGGTTAAAGAGAGTGAAGTTTAAAGGGGAGCAAACCTATAAAGATCACCTACAAGACGTTGGGACAGAAAGGACTAAGTATTTTTCACATTAATTCATGTATGAAACAGGTACAAAAATTGTACCAAAAGTAGCTTTACTTTTGGGGCGCTATTCTTTTTAACGAATTTTTCAAACGGGTTCGCGGCGCGTAATTTTTGTTATGTTTTGACATAGCTCGTTACTCGTTTAAATCGAAATGAAGTGAGAAGTGTAGTGCGCGTTAACTAAGCACAGGTACTGTACAAAAAAATAACTTCAAAACTTCTTGCAATTTACTTATACTTATTGTTCTTTCTGCTTATCTTTCAGGACATATTCAATTTATTTGGGCATTTATTGTAACTCGGGCGCGTTCGCATCGGTTTATGTATTTCTTGTTTGTACAAATATGTCACATTCCTTTTTTAACCAACTACCCCTTATTATTTTTATTACATCAGATATTGAAAATATTTCCAAACATTCTAAATCAATTTATTTTCAGAATCCTTTTTTTCAATTTTAATTCTTAAAAAAATTATTAGATTCTTGTAATTTAAAACCATTTTCTTAATTCTAAATTCTAAATTTATATATTTCATACAAATAATGGCAATCTGCAGTCAACATTTTTAAGTTTCCTTTTATACCTATAATTTATTGTACTTTAAAGACATTCTTTTTTGGTCATCTTTTGGTTTTACAGTTCAGATAAACAAATTATCAAATCCTTCTTAATTACACCTTTTAATTATTATTTAATTTACAGCTACAAGTGATAAACGTAATTCGCGATTGACCTGGAGAGGTGTAACGAAATACTCATCGAGTGCGGATCGCGACGCGTTTTTATTCATCTTAATTAGTACATGGTCATAGTACCATGTTTACAACATAATTTAAAGTCTTTTCGAATAACGATATTGAGTGCCGAGTGCGCGACGCGAGTATAAATCCGAAACTATCGAAATCCATCGCGAGAGACTTTCCAAACCCATGAGGGACGAGAGGGAGGGGATCCAGACCACTTCAAGCAACCTACCAGCGTTTTGGACACAAGATTGGAAAATATCGACGCATCCTCCTGAGAAACTCTGACGTAGGATCCCAGTTTCTAGGAGCCGGATGAAGGTAAGTCGTGGTGATGACTTGGACCGGAGGGTAGTCACGAGTGCCCCTGACTGGCGGATGCGCAAAGCATTTTGCTGCGTATGTGACAGCCGAAGGGGAGACACACTCGGGGCTATGTCCTTGGTACAGGAATAGTCCACCCAGCATTGCTAGAATCGCCGGATGTCTTTGCGGGGTGAGTACACCTGACACCAAACTGGCTGTCTTGTATCTTTATGCGCAAACAAATGCACGTGCATACAATCATCATAACTAAACTCGCCGTCTATCCTGAATGATACGTTTTGTTTTGGCGATTTGCAATTAGAGTTTTCCAGGCGCGATAAAAAAAAGAAAGAAAGAAAACATAATTTTGATCTGCGTTTAAATTTTTTTAAAAGTCGGGATACTCTACTAATTCTGTTCAATTCATTCGCGGTTTTCGCGTTTGCAATTCGGGTTTTTCAGGCGCGATACACACCGAAGGAGGAATACTAAAAAACATGGATAACGTAATGTCCATCAACGTTTAATTTTTTGAGATTCGGCATACTCAGTTAAATCGTTTCGATTTACTCGCGGTTTTCGCGTTTGCAAGTCGGTTATTTCAGGCGCGCATCACTGCTAAGCACGGTAGAAGTTGAGTCATCATAATTCGCGACCGTTAAACTTCGCGTCCGTTTGAACTGTGTAAATGTGAAGACTGATGAATGGAAACCTATTTTTTATTATTGTATGAATGAATTCATTGATTTGTTGTATTTATTATATTTGTGTATGTGTGTTAAATTTTGGACGATGTGCTTGCACATGGTACCAAAAGCCCGTTGCCCACTGGCGGTGCACGGGTCACAAGGCTAATACAACTTGGTTATACCGCGGCGAAAACCGTTTCGCCACCCCAATCACAGATCGTCAAACGCGGTCGCGAGCATTATATTATTAAGAACGATAACAAACATTTTTACAACGGTCTGTGATTTTAGTTAAGTATGTTGTTAGGCAGGGAAAAAGGCAGGTCAACAAAAATTTCGCGATAGAATTAAGAATCCTATCCACCCACCCTTTAGTGTGTGAATGATAATTATGTTATATATTTACATTATTTGATATATTTGTGTAAACTTAATCAATTTTCCGCTTTCAGAAGTCACCGCGAATATTAGTACCGCGATTTTAGTCCTTGTGCAGGCAGGGTCGTATTAGGTCCTTAAAAATCACATTTCCTAATTTTCCTCACGTATTAATCAAATATATAAACATAAAACAACTGTTGTTGTCTTGATTTATTTTTCTGTGTGAATGAGACTCTACTAAACCAATTCCAAATTTATTATTTCAATAATCTTATGCACTAATAATTTTTTCTAGGTTAAAATCTGTATATATCTAAAATAAAAACAATATATTTTAGAAAAATATCTTTTCTTCAACCTATTCTTAATTAAATTATTTTTTATAGTCTGTTTTAGATAACTCGTGACATCAAAATGAGTAATATATTTTCCTCATGGTATATATAACCTCAAAAATGACGCATAACCTAACATAACCTAACCTAAAAAGTTTAAAATTTCTGTTTAGCTCTACTCGGCACAACGCCAAGCATCAACGACCAACGACATCAACCTCATCTTTTCTTTTTGCCGTGCACTTCCACGTCCGCGTATTTCCAATACTCCCGCCGGAGTGGGACAAGCGGCGAGCACGTAAAGGCGGTGGCGGCACCGCTATCATCCTGGCGGCGTGCCCGCGCATCAAGCACACACGCCACCTCCAAGGAAATACGCCCATTTCTCTATCTAGGTAATACTACAACGTCCCCAATACCAAATATTAAACATTTATTTCCATAATAACATCAAAAACATAAAAAAATACATTGATCATCATTAAGCGCAATTATCCAGACATAGAAATAGATATAGACATAATAAAATAACCTAAAACATTTAGGTTATTTTCTGGATATATTTAGAAGACAAACGGACGAGATCAAGAGTAAGCTGCGTCATTAATCATTGTGATGTAGCAAACTAAGTTAAAAGGATCACATGATAACGAATTACGTTGATACGGAGATAAATTATTCATTTATTAAATATTTAAATGAAATAGTCGGTGTATTGAGTTAATATATAGTCAAATATTTGAAAATAATTAAAGTTTTATTAATTATGTCTCAGGGGAAGCAAAAAAATAATTTTTTAGAGGTTTTTAGGGTTGAAATCAAAGAAAATTATTTTTTTAAACTAAAAAGTTTTGAAATGAAATATTTAAACATAATATATTTCAAAATTTATAAATAATTAATAATTATGTAGCAGGGGAAGTAAAAAAATAGATTTTTAATGTTTTTAGGGGTAAAAATCAAAAAATTAAATTTTTTTAACTAAAAACTTTGGTAATGTTATTAATTTAGTATTACGTAGTTGTGTCTAGGGGTAGGTTGTAGGTTTGCGTGTGCGGCGCGACAATAGCAATGCGGCGGGGGCGCCGCTCCCGCAAATATATACACACACAGGGGTTGGTCCGCGTGAAGGGTGAAGTTGTGATCATGCGCCTTGCATCACAACCCATGCGCCGCCTAGCGTCGAGCCGCACAAGCCGACGATGACCTGAAATATCGCGTTCTCAGTTACGGTCGATTTTACCTTCTATAAAACCTTTAAAGTTGTTATTATGTGCTAAACTTAGATCCGGTGCACACAGCGCATATCTTTGCATTTAAAAACATCTCGTGCCAAAGCTGGTTGGTGTCTCACGCGCACGGGGTTAATTTTTGTGCCGCCGCCTGCGAGAAGTACTAGAAGAAGGAAGGGTGGCGCGTGTGCAGCGCCCCGAGCCGCGCCGTCGACTCGACGTTCGTCCGCATTTGATTTCGCCGTTCGATTGCGTTCGTGTTTGTTGATTTCGGTGTGCTGCGCAAGAGATTCGCTAGTTACCCAAGTCGCGAACGGATAACCTACTCAACCACCCACAGAGCAAACCAGAGATTAGTTGGTTTTTCGTGGTGCCGGTGAGCGAATCGCGAAAAACACAACAAAACACGAAACGTGTGCAAATTGCGGCACAGTGTTGTTTTGATTTGAAGAGTTTTGAGCTAAACCAAAGCGAATTGGAATCAACACCATGGGTGCCAAGGGTAGTGTCGAAGCGTCCAAAATGAACGCACAAAATTGGAATAATTTGGAGGTGAGCAAATCTCTACAACCCTTAAAAACCATCAAAACAAATATTTTTAAGAATTAAATTTTAATTTTTTGGAAAAAATTTTCCTCGGCATAAATTTTGGTTTTTCGGCATTTTCTCCGTCGAGAATCGTAGGATGGTGATGTTTAGACGGTTACGTCACTTGCCGGGATGCACGCGATCGATGAGCTGCCCCTCCCTAAACATCTACACTGGTACCGCCGACGGTGGATGCTGTGCACCCGGCATCGCGCATACACACGCACAGGATATACTCGCGTACAAGTGTAAGGGCAGAGCAGTGCCCGCCGCCGCCGATGACTTTGATATACCGTTGCGCCGCCGCTCACACACCCGCACTGGAGGCGCACCATCCCCAATATTATGGTTTCGGGGGGCTCTCTCACATTTTGCGCACACTTACCGTATGCCTTTTATTGCGAATTCTAGCTAATTATGCATCGCAAACATAATTAAGAAGAATTTATTGTTTGGTATAATCGCAATTAGAGTTTTTTGAGGGAATTTTGAGAGAAATTGAGGAAATAAGTGATTGGGTTAGAAATTTGGTGATAATCTGGAAACTATTAGTGATAGGGACGCCATTTTTGTGGTTTTGGGTAGATTAGGTTTAGGGGGATGAATTGGGATGTTTATTTTGTTAGATTATGTTTGGAATAATTTTTTATTTGCAATTGAAGTCAGAAATACAAAATGAAATTTTGTGTGTTTTGGATTAAAAATTGGTCATGTTTAAGTCATGATAACTCTTTTGTTTATAAAGATAGAAAATTGTTTTAAAACTTATTAGAAAGATAATTTATCCAAGATTTTACCTAATTTTATTTCAAGTTTTTATCATTTTTAGTTTTTGAGTTATCAATAATTTTATAAAATAATTCATAATTTTCCAATTATTTTCATTTTTTTCCAAAAACTCAAATAACTCGATAAATATTCAATAAACAAATTCCAATTAAATTTTATCTGATAGACAATAAACCAAAGAATCTACCAAAGTTTTAATTTTGTTTCTAACATGATTAATACGCCCTCAGGAACATTTTAAAGTTTATGCAATTTCGAAAATTTAAAATAACCTCCAAAAACTAGGCATATAGGTCACAACACACCCAAAATAATTAATTATTTGTTGTGTGTGAGTTTACACTTTCGGGGTGTGAACGCGCGAATCTAGGATTTCGAAGCATTTCGTTTTGTTTCAATTAATTAGAGCCCCAGCTACAACCAAACCAACAACACCAGCAACTATTAACTAGACTAGCGCGCGAATAGTTTTCGACGGCGGCTGGCTTCGCCAAACTCGATTACGCCCTCTGATGAAACTGATAAACTTCGATTCTTCTTTCCGTGTACTTCCATTAACTTTCCGCAACTTTCCTGCGCATATACACGGTTTAAGTTGCAGACAAAGTCCAAGTCCAAGTGGAAGTTCTGTTTCTTTGCGCCGGCATTGATCGAGTCGAGTGGTCTTTCCATTTGGTTAAATGCCGCACGCTGCGTGGGCAGGGGCAGCGGCAAACACGCAAGGGTTGGAAAAATATATAAAGACGTGGATATGACGCAGGTTTTAAGACCTGCCGTGCGCCTAATCGACTCACCATCGTTACGTTACAGCACCATAAACACCTTATCATTACAAATGGCATTAAGCACGCGATTTGCCATCAAATTTTATTTCTTTAGGGAAAAAATAAGGAAGTGCATGTTTTTTTATATTTTTTTAGAAGAAAAAAAAACCGGTTAACCGGTATTTTGGAAAACCGGTTATTTTAAAAATCGTTTTGTTGATATTTAAAAATTTAGAATTTTGGTATTAAAATTGGTATTTATAAAAAAACCGGTATTTTTAGGTATTTTAACCGGTTAACCGGTTTTTTAAATTTAGGTTATTTACTATAAAACAACATTTTTTAAAACTATTAAGAAAAAAAATCAGGAAATTAAAAAATTTGCGTATTTAACCGGTTAACCGGTTTTAGAAATATTTTAAAACTCTGTTTATAGAGCAAAAATTTAAAGATTTGAAAGAATTTCTATGTTAACCGATATTTTAAAATATTTATTTGATGCAATCTTGGTACAAACTGGTGTGCAATATGAAATCCCACGTCGTGAAGTGAACTTTTTGCGCGAACATCTTCTTCCCTCGACGTAGTTAAAGTAACATCCATTTGCGAGTGGCGCTCGGTCGCACATAGCATAAATATTTATGACGGCATTAGATTTTTACTACTCGAGAAGTAGACTGCGGTGCTTACGGACTTACTGAAAATCTTCCCGGCCATTTCGCATGCAAGTAAATTTGGCGCGTATCCGCTGACATAATTCATCTGATTGCAGCAGCACAAACAGCGCGGGCTCCATCAGCGGTCACAATCGTTGAACCGTGGCGTGCGTGGCCAATGGGGCACCAGAGGTGCCGACGGCGGCGATATGTGGTGACAAAGGGGGCAGTGCCAGTGCCCTGCAGCCATGGGCAACAAGCTCAGCTGCTCCTGTACCCCTCTCATTCGTAAGGCTTACCGGTATGAGGACTCGCCATGGCAGACCTCACGCCGTCGCGATGGACATCTTCTAAGGTGAATATTCTACATCTTTAACCATAATCTTTCTCTCTACTCTACTGCACCCACATATATGGAGCATGACGAAATCAATACCATCCAACTAATGCTTATAAATGCTCCTGTTAAATATCAGTCAAGCGGGGTTAGCGAAAAGAAAGTAAAAGCTATGCAAATCGATTCTGGGCAAATCCAATTACACCCCTTATATACTATATATCCTAGCACCAGCGCGGTACGCTTTAGTGGGCGTCGTTTTTTAATCCAAACCATCAAAGTGCCAAACATTGCAGACTGTGGGCGGAGGTCTTCCACGTGTCGGCGAGCGGCGCTGGCACCGTCAAGTGGCAGCAGGTCAGCGAGGACCTTGTTCCGGTGAACATTACGTGCATTCAGGACTCGCCCGAGTGCGTCTTTCATATTACGGCCTACAATTCGCAAGTGGATAAAATTTTGGACGTTCGACTTGTTCAACCAGGTAAAAATCATCAAAATCAAAATTTCACTTTTTTCACGGTTTTTGGACTTTAGTCACGGCCGTGGCTAAAGTACTTTAGTCACGGGTTTTAGTCACGAGGTGGAGTTTAAGTACAAAAACGTGGAAATAAAGTGAAAGTAGAAAAATGTTTTAAACGTGGTTAAAGTGAGGTTTTTATCGCACTTGATATTTAATATACCTATTAATTTATGACTTGTAGGCACGAGGATTGGTCAAGCATCCGAATGTTTTGTGTATTGGAAGGATCCGATGACCAACGACACGTGGGGCTTGAATTTCACATCGCCGATCGACGCGAAACAATTTCGAGAATGCTGCGTAAGTCTCGAGCATTCACACACATTTTTTTCTCTTTTAAAATCTTTGATACTCTGCCTGCGTATTTTTCATCTCTCATTGCACTTGTACTGGTATGGTAATAATTGTTATTACAGTTTTTACAGAACATCGGCACGAAACATAATTTATCTCTTCTTCTCTCTTTAATATTTATCTTAAGTATTTATTATACGATTGAAACACTCTGAATGTGCTCGAAACTAACGAACCACTGCTCAAAAGTTTACTTATTAATAGTAGTGTGATATGTTGCAGTCACCCTCGTTCAAGTTCTCGAGGAAAGCGTCGTCGTCGTACTCGCTGAAGCTGGACCCGCCGAGCAAGCAGAAGTTCAAAACGAAGCGGAAACCACTCAGCACACCGGCGTCACCGAACCGCGCACGCGAACCGCAATGCACGTGCATGACACCCGAACAATATGCGAGGTTACGTGCGCAAGATCCCAGACATCGAGGTAGAAATTTAATTTTTTCAAAAAATTAAAAATTAAAAATTAAAAAAAAAATTTTTAGGATCTTCAACGTTGCCACGCGCACAGACACGCTCCACAGACACCGAAGGCAGAACTGATAAGGTCACCGCCGCCACATCATCGACTAGCTTATATGATAACGTGAATGCGACGGCGGCGGCGGCAGCGGCCGGTGCTGGAGGAGCACAATGTAAATATAATCTCTAGTTTCACTGGGTTATATCTAGCATAATGTGTTTATATTTAGCGTTACAAGGTGGTGCGCAGGCGCGACAGACTCGAGATCGCGGCACACAGCAACAGTCGCAGGAGACGATGACTTCTGGCATGACGGCGGGGCAGAAGAGCGGCACAACTTCCGTCGGCACGCAGAATACAGCCAGCGCGGAGGTAAACACTATTATTTTCTTATTTTCTAAGTTGAATACGTAATCCATGGTTTATAAAATGTATTTATTAAAATAATTTTGTGATTTTCTTGGATTTTACAATTTTGTATGCGAGTTTTACTTGTTTCGGACGATGCCCACAGGGCGAAACGAGTAAAACTCGCATACAAAATTGTAAAATCCAAGAAAATCACAAAATTATTGTAATAAATACATTTTACACTATTATTTTATCTCCCTGTGTATATACACTCAATTAAAATCGAATCACGCTGCTGTAAAATGTAATTAGAAAAGTTTGATAAATTTCCATCTCTTACAGAGTCAAAATGAGGGGCAACCATCCCAAACGCAGCAAACATCCGAAACGTCAAAATCGGAAGGAACGCAAGCCGGTGGCACTCTTCAGAATAGTACGAAGTCGTCGTCGACGTCAACACGGCCACCACTGCGCGATAACCTGCATCACACGCTGACGAATACCAAGTCAGTGGACTATTCTGAAATTGACATGGTGCGTGAGGCAGAGATGCGCGCGGCGCATCATAATGTATTGAACAACAACATTGGTAGGCGTAGTAAGTCAAAGAGTACCGAGGATATGAACCGCGAGAATAGTATGAGTCTGGATAGTAATACGCTGAAGCGGATGTTGAAACCCATGCCGAGTGTGGAGAGTCCGGTGACGTCGCCGGAAATGGGACGCAGGCGTTATAATTACTACAACAATCACAATCACAATCGTTACAACGGGCGGGGACATATGGATGGCGGTGATGTTGGGCATCATCCACGGTCGGCGATGGCGCACAATTCACGATTCTCCGGATCTAGGTAAGAAAATAATTAATTATTTAATTAATAATAAAAATTTAGGCGTGTTGAACGTGCCCATAATAACGTACTCGTAGTATGATTAGTTTTAGTTTTAGTTTTTTTTTTCTCGGCGAGATGGCGACACTTTTTTTTTGTTTTTGTTTGGTTTTTTGTTTTCTGCACTTGCACACCTATACTATGATTATCTCCTGATACACTGCTTTGTCCATCACCCATATAGACTGAATCAATCCAGAGACAGAGAGCGGAACGGATATTACAGTGATAGAAACGAACTGATTAGGGAAAAGGAGCGCGAGCTTGGTTATCTCAGTGACCATAACAATAGGTCAGTAATTCAGTTTGGCACTGGACAGACACACAACTGATTTCTCTGAATAATTGTAGTAATTTGTGTATGATATGGGTAGTACTTGGATTTTATGAATATTTCTATGTGTATGTGTGCATGTAATATGAATTAAGAGCGGGTTACGATGCAAAACTTACGAAAAAATTGTTTTTTGGTTGGAATTTCTAAAATATTTGAAATTTTGGAAAAATTCGAAGAACATTAGATTGGGAATAAAATTATCTTTAAGATGGTGTATTTTCCAATGTTGTGGGTTTAATATTTTCGGAGATATTTCAATTTTTGTGAAAGAAAAAAATATTTTTTTTCATAAACTTTTGAATTAAGCTACAAAAAGAGAGGAAAAACTAATTTGGATGAAATATATCAACATTTCTAGCTTAAAACTATAATTATATTTTAATTTGGAATTAAATATTGATTTATTTCATTAATTTTTTTACAAAAACTAAAAATTTTACCCAAAAAATCAATTTTTTGAAAAAAAATTAGTTTCGCATTGAAAAACGCTCTTAATATAAAAACCCTAAGAAATAATAACTAACATTTCTTGTGTTTTCTATTATTTCTTTAAGATCTTCGCATGAAATCGGCCGTGGTTATCCTGGTCGTGGTTTATACCTGGAATTGGAACGCGGTTCATGCGGTGATTTATCCCCGCCATCAGATAATGTCCTGTTTGATAATCAGTGTTATGCAACCACGCCTAGCTCCAGTAATGGCAACTCGGATCCAGAGTCTTCGCATCATTATGGCCGTCATCGTCATATGCACCCATCGGTAAACATAACCTAAACTTAAAAAAAAAATTAAAACTAATTTTTCTTCTTTTTCTTTTAAAAAAATATTTAGAATCCAAATCCGACACCGACACCTGGTTCACCCACCAGTAGATTATTACTGGAGTACGAGATGCATTTGAGGAACACTTTGGCGAAGGGAATGGACGCGGAAAGTTACAGTTTGCATACGTTTGAAGCACTTTTGTCACAAAGCATGGAAAATCTAGGTAAAATTTTTCTCTTTCAAAATAAAAAAAAAATAGAATAAATTTTTCTTCTTTAAAATAGAATTTGCAGAAAGTCTGCCAGGCTCAATTCAACGCAGTCCTTATCCTTCAAGAAAAAGTGATTATTTTGTTTCGAAATTCTCCAAGTGGGGTTTAATTGCGTTGTGATTTTAGGACCTGCATCAAGCGCTTCCATGAACAAGTCCTCCACATTACCTCATAGACTGAATCAATCCAGAGACAGAGAACGCGACGGATACTATAGTGATAGAAACGAACTGATTAGGGAACGCGAGCGGGAAAAGGAACGCGAGCGCGGCTATCTAAGTGATCATAATACTAGGTAAGTTTTATTTTTTGTTTTCCTGTGTTTTTTGGTTTGTTTTATTTGTGTGGTGACGTTTTGATGTTGTAAAGTTTTAGCTCTCGATGTGCATCGTGCATTGGCGAATCGAGTCGCGCCCAATGGTTCCGGCATTCGGACGGGTGGCGGTCGGGCAGTTCGACGTTCAGTTCCGGTCAGGGCGGGCTGCCACCCGGACACAAGCGGTCGCCATGGGACTCGCTGCCGTCTTTACGCCAGGATAGTAGTCTGCATGACAGTGGATACAAGAGCAATCGGGCTGACTCGTTCGAACAGAGGTATGCAACTCATATAGCTAACCGGAAATCGGAATAGAAAAAAAACGTATTATTGCTTTGGGAACTTTCATATCCGGTCTTGGTTTGCTATCATTTCATATTATTTTTTGTGTTTGTTGGATATTTTCATGTTTTTTGACCAAAATTGAATTGATTTTCATGAAAATATCAAGGAAAATTAGAAAAAGCGGTATTTTTATGAATAACCGGTATTTTTTTATTCAAAATTTGAAATGTTGATAAGACAATTCCATTTTTAATATTTTAGAGCCGAAATTTTTATAAATTTAATTTTTAAAACCGGTATTTTGATGAAAAACCGGTATTTTCTTAATTCAAAACCGGTATTTCAATATTTGAAATTTAAACAACAGATAAAAATTATATTTTCCAAAAATTATATTCTTGCAAAATTCAAAATTTTGATAAAAACCGGTATTTTTTCAAAATAACCGGTATTTTTTTGTTTAATTTTTGAAAAAAAAAAATTAAAATTCAATTTTCAATAACTAAAAATAGAAAATTTAATAAATCCAACTATAATTTATATAAAAACCGTTATTTTCCTATTTAATTTCATATATTTTTCGATATTTCATCCAATTTTTCTATTTTTTGCAAAAAAAACTGGCGGAATTTTTCTGTTTGCTTATTGGTTTTCCTCTCTCCTTCTTCCAGAGGAATGTTCGATAGACAGGACAGCTTGCGGTCGGATTACATGAGCGACAGAGAATCCTCCCGTTATGGTATCGTTCAACAGGCTTCCATCGACAGCGCGGACTCGCGTCTCTGCTATCTAACGTCATCGGAGGTAAGTCTTTTATGACATTTTATATTTCTCAACATTTCCAACAAATTTCTCTCAACGCCAACACAATATTTAAATATTTCACATATTAAACTCAATTTTTCTTCAATTTATTTAATATTTCTTAAGAGAAACAAAAAATAATATTAATTGATTCTTGATGCCGGAAGCAGAAACATTTCTCAACAATTAATTAAAGCTATAATTGATTAAAGCGTGTGTGATATGTCAGGTCATGTGTCATATAAGCCATTTTCGTACTCGTAATAAAAGTTTGCGGCCAGAGAGAGAGAAAAAAAAAAGGAAAACGAAGCAGTAGACAAAGGCGATAATAAGCAACAAAACGAATAGCCTGGATGCGTTTGCGTGCGCACGAGGGAAAATTTATAAAGCGTGAAAGTTGCTCAATTGTTTGGGGATGCTCGGCACGCACGCGTTCAATGATGGCCGCCCTGGACACGCACGCAACCCAACACACACGCTACCACACAACAATCGGAATTGGAAATTAAATTATCCAATTCATTTGTCGCACGCTGTGTTTCATCATAGCAAACTTCAATGTGTCTTAATTGACACTCGATTTGTTTTTATTTTTATTTTTTCAGTTTTTTTGAGGAAAAAATATAAAAAGTAATTTTATTTATATTATGAATGTTTAAGAGTTAAGTGGTGCTTTAGTTAATTGCCAGCCCACAGAGGAAAAACATGAATAGTACAAACAAATTAAAAAGTTTTATCAGGCGACGTGCAACACTTAACAATTTAATTAGAGGGCGTATTTAAGCCGCTTGACGTGCGAAAGTACTGGAAACATGTTAAACCAGTTTTAAACGTCAGGTTGTGATGCAGACAACGCGAATAATTCAATTTCTACGCGCAGGAAAAATTCTTTTCACTCTTTAAATATGAATACGGAACGTCAAAAAGGTGAAAAATTACTTTTTGTGGGATTCATTTATCAAGTTTACATTCACATTTCTATTTTTTTAAATATAAATTATTTTCTATTCAGTTTAAAGCATATACAGTGTGTATTTTAACAAAATTTTATTATTTATTGTTGGTAGTGTAAATTATCACTCAATTTGCACTGTCAGACGTTTCGGTATTAGTTTGCGTATTGATGCGAGTCATCAATAGCTGAAACACTAACGATTTGTGAACGGATGTATCTCGTGACGCGCACGCTACTTAAAATGCATTAGCGGATCAATTAAAGTTAATTGCTGACGATTACGTCGTTTCTGAGCGATATTTGAGCCGAAATTTCGCGCAATGTGAAACGCGCCGCGTCGTGTACTCTCGTATACACTACCTACAAGCGCCGCGTATATTGACGTGTTGCGAGCGGGCGATAGTGGCTCGTTATCGGTGAGTTGTGTGACTCCAATTAATCCGGAGCGGGGAGCCCATCAAGCTAAGTTTTTCATTATCTGCACGCCGTGATCTATCCTTTTATCCTGGTAGGTTTTATGTTTGGATCGATTTTCAAGCACAAATGCTGAGGAAAATAGAAGTTGGTTTTAATACCGGTATTTTAATATATATTTAGAATTTGTAAAAATATGAGAATTTTAGTTTTTATAGTGGAAAATTTGAAATTTTAAAAACCGGTTTTTATTTGTTTAGAAAACCGGTATTTTTATGAATAACCGGTATTTTAAAATTTGAAAGGAATACATTTATAAGAAAATTCCAATGTTTAAAAATTATATTTTAGTTTAATTTAAAATTTTGATAAAAACCGGTTTTTTTAGTAATAAAACCGGTATTTTAATGAATAACCGGTATTTTAAAATTTAAAAGTAAAAATATGTTTGAAAATATTATTTTCAAAAAATTATTTAATTTTAAAATTTGAGATTTTGATGAAAACCGGTTTTTTATTATAAAAACCGGTATTTATATAAATAACCGGTATTCCAATACTTAAAACTTAAAAAAATATATCAAAATTTATGAGAAAAAGATAAAATTTTAATTAATGCAATACTAAATTATTGAAAAACCGGTATTTTCATAATTTACCGATATTTTTTTAATACAAATATAATTTATGAAAATATTATTTTTCCAAATAAAGAATTAATGGATTCAAATAATTCCGAACAAAACAAACTCATTAATCAACCATTTGCATATTATTTATAACTCGCAGGCAAAATGTAATAATTTATTATTTATTCGCCCGCGCGCATTTTCAATTCCAATACACACAGATTACAATACAATTTAAGTTATAATCCGCGCAAATAGCCTTCACAAAAAAACCATTCCAAGCTATAAAGCTAAATCTCGGCGATTAATGCGTTAAAAAACATTTTAGTAATTTTTTATCAAACTCACAAAACCCAGAAAAAAAATCTATATTTCATGTCGTTAGCGATCGTATAGCATATTGACGCGTGTTTTGTGCGGTGCGTTAAATGATTGATAGACACGTGAGGCTCATAATAACGCCGGCGATTTATTGAGGTTCGCTTTCAGTGCATAAAAGGCACGAATTATCACAACGCAATATAAAAAAATATGAAATAAACTAAAAAATATCGCTTTTTTAAAGAAAAGAATTTTTTTGATTCAAAATTAATCAATTTTTTGTTTTTGTTGATGGTGAATGTGAAAAATTACTTTGTGCACCTGGAAAAAATAGTTTCCGCTTGATTTTGTCGTTTGTGGCGCAGATAAAAAGTTTCGCAAGTTACGGTTTATGTCTGTAACGAGTAATTTCGACTTGGGCGCGAACGCAAACAAAAAGTATGCAAGCGCATATAAAAGTATAAAACACAAGTAAACGAAATTGCGATGGCGTGACCATAAAATCGTCGTTGGAGCACGATGCAAACAAACTTGTACCGTATCCGTGGGCTATCAAAAACTTTGCGCGCGGCGGCGTGAATTTATTTATACTGCTTCGCCACCGCATTGCTGATGCTTATTACCGAAGGGAGAGGAGGGCAGGAGGTGACATGGGGTTGATGTAATTTTGTTTGCTTATTTGTCAAAATACTTGGAGAAAGTTAAGAAATTCAAAGATACAAAATAATTTTATGTTTTTTTTATTAATTTGTTATGAAAAAATGCAAATTTTTATGTTTTTTCAACATTTTTGGGAAAATTTAGTTTTTTCAACATTTTTTGGGAAAATTTTATGTTTTTTCATCATTTTTTGGGAAAATTTTATGTTTTTTCAACATTATTTGGGAAAATTTTAGGTTTTTTCAACATTTTTTGGGAAAATTTTATGTTTTCTACAGTTTTTCGACAAAATTTTACAGTTTTACAATTCATTTAGCTAAAATTGACATTTTTTACAATCTTTTGGTGAAAATCAACATTTTTGGATAATTTTTTTTTACAAAAATTCACATTTTCCAAAATTTTTCGTAAAAATTACAATTTTTTCAAATTTTTTGCAAAAAATTCAAATTTTTTTTGGAAAACTTACAATTTTGAAACCAAGACGTAGTACACTAAATTATTTTATGCTGGGCTTTTAAACATTGCGTGCAACCCATAGAAAAGTGTGAAATAAATAAAATTGCGTTAAAAAGGGTTTTGAAGCGCTGGGCAAATCGGAGCTTATCGAAATTACACTCCTGCAGCAAATCGAATTTCCGCAATCGACATTTATCTTCCACCACCTCTACCACCACCCATTGCGCTTATCTCTCTTATGTTTTTGCATCGGCGCGCAAGAGATCTACGGGCGCAACCTCGAAATTGATTCGATTTGCAGCTTTGTACCAGACTTGCACACACAATGCGCGTCTGGACGTGGACGACAGAAAAATCTAAAAATCTTAGGCGCCGGGTTTTCCCACCCAGCAGGGTGGGGGCGGTGTGAGACGCACGGGCCGCAGCGCCGCCACACGGGTTAACTGTATGTGTGTCTACCCCGGCCTGGCCTTGCTCCGTTTTCCGGGACGGCGCGCGCGCGCGCGTGCGCCCAAACGCACAACGCCGGAATGTCATCCGCTGCAATAGTGCGCGATCAACCTTTTGCAGCAATATGTGCTCGCCTCCATGAAAGAACCTCGACCACGCACCGCAATCGCCCAAGAAATTATCATAACTAACCAGCAAAAACGTCTCATTGTGTGCATTACTACCTACCTTAATCTGCTGTTGGTTCGTCGATCACTTCCGGGTTAACTCACACACGCTCACAAAGTGCACAGTCCACAAATAACACGCATGTGATAGCAATTTGCCGAAGAGAATATGTTTCAACAAATCGGTTGCGCACGACGACGTATTGCATGCACCCGTGGACTTGTTGAGCGATTTGATATAGGCAACACAATATTCATCCGCACATCATCCGAATTGTAAGAGTCATCATGGATTATAAAACAGTGTCGAGTGTGTAATAGCTGTAAAAGCTGTAAATGCTACATGTTTTCTTTATTGCGAAATGGTGCGCAAGCGTATTAAGAATATTTTTATGAAATTGGTATGTACGTTTACACAGCTCATAGAGATTGTCTTTTTTAGCTCATTTCTTTTTCATAATAATCTTTCAACTCTTCCAAACCTTCAAAAACCTATTTTTGCTTGCATATAGTGTTTATTTATTGAATGTGCGGTGGTGGGTTATAACCTCAAACTCCCAAAATGACCTAATTAGATGACCTAGTTAGTTATGCAACTCAAATTGCACATTAGTAACAAAAAAACAATTTTTAACGTTTTACAGGTTAAAATAAACAGAATAAACTATTGAGGGTTTTATGATGCGCTGTCAAAAAGGGTTTCCATGCAGGTTTTAGTCTTTTGCGAGTGTGTGTGTGCGTGAGAAATGCAAAATGAGAATGTTTGGAATGTGCTGGCGCTGTGCGGGGAATTGCATCGATCGGTGTTTCGGCTGGCGCGCGTTTAGTTGATATTTTCGCCGGCGGCGGCGTTTTGCCACCGTCGCCGCTGCGACGCTCCGCCACCGACGACAGTCTGACGTCACGCCGCGTTCGGTTCGCATGCAGAAAGACGGACGGACGGAC